ATTGTACCATGTTCTAGCCTAATATAGACACATCCCAGATGAACCACATCGGCAACAACCTTGAAATGATCCATCCATTAGGTATGGAGTTCTAATCATCACGGTGATGCTATCATTAAAATTCATTCGCTTCATCCTACTGATTAAGGGCAATTTTAGATTGACATTATACCTTCCTCGGCATTACAGAGGTAATTGTCCACCAATACTGCTTCCTCGTCAATTCCAATTACCAAATTGAGTTATTATAAATTGGAAAAGTTAAGCCTTGAGCTGCGAACTCTCTAAACGAGGCTGCGTGATGTTACCTAGACATTGATTGGATTGTTGTCACACCTTGGACTTTCATTTGTCAATTAAACAGAATATCTTCATTATCATCCTTGCGTCCTGTCTCATTTGAAGGCCGGCGGTGTTGACCGTGCGAAAACATCTTTCCATATAAGTTTTCAAAATTGAATTTTTTCTTATCATAATATTATCTTCAAAAGAGCAAGGACTATATTTGGAGGTGTAGTTACATAGTGACAAGTCCTTCACAAGTAAAGGGTCTTAACGGTACAATAAAACACTGCAGGGAGAATAAACCATGCGGGGTGCAGCCCCGAGTGATGTACTCTCCCTGCAGTGTTTTATTGTACGTTGAACAACGACCACGAGGCGTTTATTTCTTATATGAGATGTCAACATTATTTACATCCTCTTTAAGGGTGATGATGATGATGAAATGTACAAGCTTTAACAATATTTACCCGAATTTTAATAATGATGACTCCCTGAGAAGAATCCGACCTCGGAAATGTCGGACAAGACAATTGTACGAACAGGTGGATTAAGTTTGGTGTTTCCCGCATATTCCCACAATCAAACAATGTGTTATCGTGAAATAAACCACGCTTTGTTCTTCATTGTTCTTTGCGATTTATCGCGTATCTATGCTGTATAGTGCAATGATCTTTCAAGCGACGTTAAGCCCCACCTCACCTCACCTCACCTCACCTCACCTCACCTCACCTCTTACCGGTACGGCATGTCAGTAGCGCTGTAACGACATTCTTTGTCACGAAACGATATGGATATCAGTGGTGAAAAAGTGTTACATGCTACGGAACATTTATAATCAATTAAAAATGGCGTGCGTTTATGTTTGTTGTTTTACGCCGCACTCAGCAATGTTCTAGCTACATGCCCGCGGCCTGTTACTAATCAAGTCTGGACCAATCAACTCATTGATTGATATCATGAGCAACGATCCCACAGTGGGGTCACGATGACACGCAATCAAACAAATCACCCTGTCTGACTGTCTAATCCATTAAATGGCCTGTTACGACCAGCATGTGTTCCTAGAGATGTTTTTCTACCCGGAATCCCAAAGGAACCAATTTTATTAAAGTAACCATGTTGAGAGCACTCTTGTAAATACCTTCAGCAAAAAGTATTAAACAGTTCATATTCACACAGTTTATCATGCCTTTCGCCTCTATACACATTTGCATATAAACTGCCTATCAAAAGAAAGTATATACTGTTAGATTGTTGAATAGGTTTTCATACCTTGGCCAAAGGAAAGTAAATCAGTCTGAAAACGATTGTTCAAACATAACCAACATCAATGACTGTTAGAAGTTACATTTGGAGAAAAAATATCGTTTGTTTATTTCGTTTTAAACAGAGTTTTCGATGATAGCACAGAGGGTATAAAAGCAAGCGGTTGAATCCCCAATCATCACAGCTTATAAAAAGATGCGAGAAAAATGCTAAGTTTTTCAGCAGAACAGAAAGTGTTCTGTTCTGCTGAAAAAACTTAGCATTTTTCTCTTTGAGTCTTTGGATGGCGCTGATTGGCACAAAGCAGGCCCATTTTGCAAGAACGTAAAGTGACAGTTAAAACCCAATATGTGTTTCACTGCTTTTTATTGATTGATTCATTCAAATGAAATTGATTTTGGCTTATTGTACCATAAATAATGGAACTTGAAATGATGAAAAATTAAATATGTACATGTTTCCTTTTCTTAAGCAGTCCAAGTCGATGTATATTTTCTTCTGATCAGTGTTTTTGTTTTGTATGTCACGATACGATGATCGTGCCAAGTATCGCGATGCATCAGTTCTCCGATTAATTTTTTTAAAGGAGCTCAGAGCCGGTACAACGAGATGGGCGTCGTGGCCTATGCCACATGCTGTCGTGCACACTGATAGCAATCTGTCAATACAAAATCTCGCATTAAATTTTTTTTTTTTTTAAATAAAATAAAAGTTCTCCGATTAATCGTCGTAGCCCAACGGGTCATGGCATCCTGTCTCGCGAACACCTCATGCCGTCACTGTAATGCAACATTAATTCATATTTCTTTTGACATAAGGGGGCACGGTTGGCCCAGTCGTCTAAGGCGCCGCGATTCGCTGTGCAGAGTTGCGTCCCTTGGACACGCCAGAAACCTATGATTGTTGGTTCGAATCCCGGTTTGTCAGCACCATACCCGTGCTCGTGGGTTTCACCGAAGTGGTAAACGTCTGAGACCTGTATCACTTCGGGCTTTCCTCCCACCTTAAGCTGACACGCCGTGAAATAACTGGAATACGGTTAAAAGCGGCGTTAAAACCAACTCACTAACTCACTTTTGACATATTGTCATTCAGTTTGGGCTTATTTTCACTTGTGATCTTGCCTATTGCGGACGCAGAGACAGTGAGTGAAACAAACAAACGAATACCTATCCCAGGGTGTGATTGAGTGTGGGTTTTGGATGAGGGTGTGAGTGAGTGATTTGGAACCTAAGGCCTATTCCTCCATGGAATCACAAAGATGCTAACGGTCATCAGTTTTTCAGCTGATACGTCCAATAAGTGCTTTGCATAACGGTCCAATTTCAATGTTCAATCAAGATTCGTCGTTCCAAGTTTAATTAACGATTGAGCCATACATATTTCGAGATGAAATTGCTGTTACATAGCTATGTACATTTAACGAACACGGGAACACTAGGCGCACATCATGTATACGGTACATAACATCCAGCTTTGAAGCTAAGAAGTCCTCTGAAGAACTTCTTCCCGTCAGTCTGTAAATATTATCTTGGTCGTGTGAAGTAGCATGCGTTCGTGAATTACTTATTCGACCATACAGTGTAAAACAAGCAATACGTCCTTTTATGAAAAACTTGACACAGGACGTCAAACATGGTTTTAAGGACGTTATTAATTATCGGCTTCTCTTTGATAACTTTCTTGTGTGAAATCAAAGCACTTGTTTGTATCCAACTATTCACAGTTATGAATACAGAAGTGGTCAAAAGTGGTCAACATGGTTGTATCCATAGTTATCGTTGGGAACGTTGGTCACATTAGGTTATAGTAGTACTGAGCTGTTATAACAGTTGCATCAGTAGTAGTAGTAGTAGTAGTAGACGTTGCACCAGTAGTATTTGTAATAGTCGTAATAGTAGTAGTGGTAGTAGTAGTAATAGTAGTTCTGGTGGTGGTTGTGGTTGTGGTGGATGCGGTGGTGTTGGTGGTAGTTGTAGCAGTGCTGGTGGTGGTACTAGTAGGATTAGAAGTTGTAGTGGTAGCAGTAGTTGTAGGAGCTGCAGCAGCAACAGTAGTAGTAGTAGTAGTAGTAGTAGTAGTAGTAGTAGTAGTAGTAGTAGTAGTTCTGGCATCAGACACCAGTAGTTACACTGTTATTATTAGATTGATTGAGTTGGGTTTAACGCCGCTCTTAACATTATTCCAGTTATATCACTGCGTGTCAGCTTAATGTGGGAGGAAAGCCCGAAGTGATGCAGGTCTCAGACGTTTACCACTTCGGTGAAACCCACGAGCACGGGTATGGTGCTGACAAACCTAGAAACATAATCGGGGGAACCGGGATTCGAACCCACAGTCATAGGTTTCTGGCGCGGCCAAGGGACGCAACTCTGCACAGCGAATTGCGGCACCTTCGACGACTGGGCCACCCGTGCCCCGTTATTATTAGAGATCCAGCAGCAGGAGAATGGAGCCATGGGTAGGTGGAAGCGGAATGGCATAAGACGTACATCTAGCTGTTGATACAAATAAGAGAACAACTCCTTTTGTTGCAATGATGGTGAGGATGGAAATTCAATTTTCGGCACATACTATGATGAGGAACGTCCACTCATACATCCGAATTTCCATGCAAACAGCCATCCCTTCACCCATACACTTACGCATCCATCTGACATCTATCCACCATCCATCTGTCCATCTAGCAATCTATCCACACATGTATCTTGTCATTCATCTATCACTCAATACGTCCATCTTATCCTCCAAAGATTGCCGCGGCAATACATACATCTGACTGAGTCAGTTGTCCAGGGTTACCCACACTGGCCCCTTCTGTCAAATCACCATTCATGCACTTGTAATATTGCCATTATTATTCTACATCCTTCTACCAACATGTGCTTGTTTGCTCTCGCAGACATAACAGCATTTTCTCACTGACTGAGAAAGACCTAGTCTCTTTTCTCCACTGGGCACAATATGCCTGCTACCACACGTCATTAAAGTCAATTCCAATGGTCTACGTGCTTCCATTGTCGTCTTCCAGGTTTATTATAAAAAGCAACAACTTATTATCCTCATTTGTTGACTTTTAAAGAAAAAACAATCTATCCATGTTTTTATTACGAGAACTATTTCACAAAAGTATCCAGCCCACTTTTGGACTTTTCATGAAGGAAATGACAAGAATAGAGGTCCATCAACTCTTGTGTTTATAAGCGGAATAGGCTGCTCTCACTGTTGTCGACATGTTTTACAAGACCAGAAAACTAATTCTACTGCTACGTGTCTGTCTGTCAATCATCAGCGCTCCTTCACACATTCGATCAGCTGATCGATACCGGAGCTGCAATGCGATTGGCCTAATTGGATCTCTAGAATGGCTCGCTCTACCACACAGGCCTTCAGGTGTGCTCGACCCTACAAATACCTAGAATCTTTCATTCAGTTTTCAACCGTTTCAGGAGTGGCGGTGCAACTTTCGGCAGATAAAGATGAACTGCCGGTATTCTCTGCAGTTACTGTTTCTGCTGGCTTGTCGATATGGGTGAGTAAATGACTTTATATTTACTTTTGTATTTACATTATATCGTTTTGTCTCGTTTAAAAAGTAACAATTCATACTGGATATGTTATGAAGGTGGCTAAAGTCAACGTTTAAGACTTGCATCACTTCTGGCTTTCTTTGCACATCAAGCTGACCTGGCGTGGTATCACTGAAATAAAGTTTAAAGCGGCGTTAAAATACACACGAGAAGGAATTACGGAACAAGATAAATATATAATTTTAAAATAACTTCACTTGCTGACAATAGTTTAGTGATGAGATTATGGAACACATTACATTAAACAGTTATTACTGCTCCAACGTTACTGGCATTTGGATTGTTTGTGTGACGTAAATATCATGATATCCAGACATCATTATTAGTGAATTATGTCAGCGTTGAACGTTGCTCATAATATCAACCACTCGATTTTCTGGTCAAGAATTGATTATTTATTGGCCACGGTCATATAGCTGGAATATTGCTGAGTGCGGCGTAAAACAACAAACGCGTACTGACTTATGTATTGGATACTTCATGTTCGTCTATGTTGGAACAGATAGAAAATACATTTGGAATGATATTCTCAACTAATAATATAATATCTAAATATATATTTTATTACACGGAAACGTTCACATTGAAACGTTCACCAAGACAACACTTCTTCTTTTGGAAATTAGAAGCGTTTAAACATTTGTTCCGAGTGTAAAGTTAAAAAGTTTATTTACTTGTGGCACAAACCACCGTCTTGTTTGATTTGTTTGATTGTCAAGATTGATTTCTGCATGTGACAGTTAAAGAAACGCTGATTCTTGTTCATTCTGGATCAATACTGTTCTTCAACTTACTTCAAATACTGTTTGTTAAGCACTTTTGAACTTTTTTTAAAGCAATATATTACAACATCCATCAACGAACTTTTATTTGAACAATCCTGCTTGTAACGTTTGAGACAAATCTGGGTTATAACAATGTTCATAAGGAAATGATCCATACTGGTGGTTTATGATACTTTTATTCGAATTTATTTCGTAAGTTCAATGTCACAAGCTGACGTTGCCATGCGTGAGCTGGATCATTAATTTACTTATCAGGAAACATGATGAAATATAATCATCCTCAGGCGTCATTGCATTATATGCTGTGGAAGCAGGTATAATGAGATGTCCACACCAATGTGTTACTCAGCAACCGTTGAAAAGAAATGTGTCCGAATATTCGGACAGTATGGATTTCGTCAAATTGTCACAAAATATCCTTTTCCACATTTCGTGTACAATCTGTTGTCAAGAGGATGTAGGATTTCCGTTAAAATGAAGTTAATATACTTCGCGGTACTTTTTAGGAAATCAGTTCAACAATGAAACTGGATGACGTGTTTGCTGTGACATTACCTAGCAATTTTAGAAAAGAAGATATGAACACGGTACTTAAATGACATACCGATGCGGTGCTTATATATTAATACTTTAATTTTAAATTATTAACCAACAAATTAAAAGACAGGATTATCTGGACTCGTCCAACGCCAACTAATTCTTTTCGAAATTGGATGCACGATTCCAGAAGCTCACAGCATCATTGTCTGAGATATTACAATCATGTTATTACGTAAATCCGTTAATTCCTCCATACATTCGGGTGTCTTATTCAGAGGTCTGGAGACTGAGTATTACTTTTCCTGCATTTACATCATCCTGCCAAGAACACATTAAAGCCCAATAATGGATGAAGGTCCCTACTTTCTAAGCATGAAGAGCCCACATAATGTCGACCCGGTGCCACTTAGAATCCTCGCGCCTCACCATTCAGAGGTCTCATTTCCATTTAGGCTTCAAGGAAATGGTTCAGGGTTTCTCCAAGATTTTCAAAGTATCCTACAAATTGTAGCACATCTTTCAGTGCACTGCATACGCACCCTCATTTCCCCCATTCTCTGTGAAAAATGGCGAAATAAGGAATCAGAAAGATAAGTAAGCGTTATAATACTTAGCCATGCGGCATGCGCGTGTTCAAGGGTTTTGAAGTGTCTTTTCAATGACAAATGTGAGTTGTTACCACACATCTATGGCATAATTATTAGCATTGGCATCAAAGGGATTTTTTTTATCACGGACTACTTAACATTTAGTATGGAGCAAAGTAGTTTTTCCTGTTAATGTTAATGTTAATGTATATTTGACTTAACATAAAATCTAGTTTTTAAGCCTCGCGTGGCAGGCTTGGGGCCTCAGGCAACAAACAAACACTTACTTTTTTATGCAAATTGTGAAGTGGCGGGTGCTTACCCTTTTTGTGAACACCTGGTGTCATCACTGATTTAAAGTCATCCATTCATATACTTTTCACAGTTATTTTGCCCTTTACGTCCATTGGAATCTGTTTCGGTGGATAATCAAGACTGGTTATTATCAGGCTTTGCGTTATATAATAATGATATATGTTATACAAAGAATTAACCTTTTGATCTTTTATCTGAATTATTATCTTTTATTGTTTTTTCTAAAGTAATACATTTTCAATGCGTGACAGAAATATATGAAAATTATGAAAGGAAATGTGTACGTGACACAATTAGGAAGCGGTACATGATATTATTTTCAACATGCGAAATACTTAATATTAAAACAACATTGCCAGAATTCATTTTTATAATGTTAAGATATTAGCAAAGATTTAGACATAACGTTTATCAGCAAGACAGACGTACCCTTATCAAACGTTAACGTTTTAACAAGCCTAGGCCTCTTATTATGAAATCTGTTCTTGATGTCTATCATAATACATTTCATGTGTATTATATGATGTGGCACTGTATGACATGCTTGGTATTCATCATTTAACCAGATACTAACACAACGACCAAAAATAATCTGTTTTGAGGAAAGAACATATTGTTCTTAGCACGTAAGGGAAGTACCACTATCTGTCATATCAATAGATATGATACTACTACATTATATATGCGTGTTATGTCAATGGACATGCTAACACTTCCGATTTTCTTGCTCCCCTCTTATCCATTGTCTAAACAAATTTGTGTTCAGTCGGATTTTATTCTTTCCCCTAATGAAGTCAGCGATTTGGCATAGTTCCATTTAACACGCAAATGAAAGATAGTTTTTATAAGGAGCTATTTTCGGAAATCGAAATTAGATTTATTTCTTTAAAGAAACGTTTCGTGGTGCTTTTTTATGAATTGTACGTGAATGAAAACATCGACGATTATATTATTCAAATAAAACTTTAATGCAAGGTTACATGTCTGATATACGTCTCACGAGGTGACTAATGTGGTTAAAGAAAGATAGGTATATATGTAAATATTGTAGGGAATAAATTCCCTGTTGGGATGGGTGATTGGGTGAGGTGTATATCACCATAGGCAACATTGCAGCAACATGCCAACTTGGACACTATAAATGCACTTCACATGTTGCGATAAATGCAATATCTCTTCTTTGTTTAAGTTATTGTTTTAAGCCGCAATATTCTAAAAAAACTATAACACGAGAGGCCGGTAAATGGTCGTTGTTTGAAAGAAGAGTGAGTGAGTATGTCTTTACGCCGCTTTTAGCAATATTCCAGCAATATCACGGCGGGGGACACCCGAAATGGGTTTCACACATTGTACACATGTCGGGAATCGAACCCGGGTCTTCGGGGTGACGAGCGAACGCTTTAACCACTAGGCTGCCCGACCGCCCCATTTGAAAGAAGAAAAAACGATCTACTCCTTTGGGTACAATGTGACATGCAAGAACCAAGTACGCGATTCAATTCAGCGGCTTCTTACGTCACAGTGTGTGCTGGAGCTTTGCTAACAAGGGTACCGGCGGGGCACTTCTCTTGTGACAGATGTGCCATCACATTGTAAATTATATAATCATCATAACCATACATAAAAAAGGCAGTTGCTCTCTTTTCAGCCTTTAATGGAACAGGAAGTTCTTATTCTAAATATTATATGTACGGAGTGACCAGTAACTCTAACCAGTTAAAGAATATTTGCAAATGTGAAATGAACTGGATACACCTTAATGGTTGTTTCAAAATGCGTTTGATAGTTTAGTTTGGGATATCGATTATAGCTATAGTCATATGATGCGAGTGTTAATATTTTCTTAAATTTTCGAAATGGAGTATTTTTATTTGAAAATGTCATTTGAGGTTTGATAGCTTGGAAAGTTTAAATGAAAGCTTTCGTGTTAAGTGAATAAATACAGTATCACAGAACAACAGCAATGCCATATTGTGTGAACCTCATCGACGTTGCTGTGAACAGTTTGACGTCATCATCAAAGGTTGTTTTGTTATCTGTCTTTTGATTCGACACTGTGACTGACAACAAAGAAAGGTTTAAAAAAGCCAAACATGACGCATTAGAAATGTAGATCTTTTGTTCTGGCACAATCGGTAGAGAAAATGATGCTCTCATGAGACTGTAATGTAATTATGTCAAAGAGGTTGTGAAGCTTCCTGCATAAACAAGACAGTCATTTGAAACAGACAGCAAACACATTAGACACGTTGAGCTACTCAGTGTAATTAGAAACGTAAGTTACAGCAATGAATTGTTGATTGTCAGACTTACCTCTTGAGGTTTCAGCTATTTAATTTTCAAATTGTCTCTTTAACTCTCTGTAATGAAAGCGTGTTCTGCCTCGAAGCATTACTGGGCATGTAATGGTGTTTGAAACACACTGCTATTATCATTCCTACTTTTAAATTAGCTTTGACTAACAGAATAGTGTAGTTAGGTATTAAATAATAATTTCGTACCCGACGGCGTAGACCGTTGCTCATAATATCAATTACTGGATCGTCTGGACCAGGCACGAATATTTACGGACCGCCGTGATATACCTTGAATATTGTTGTGTGGCATGAAACAACAAACAAACAAACATCCATTTTGCTTCCAAATCATTGCATGCGTTTACCAAAGAAGGTACAAATGGTCATCATATTCGTATTTTTATTTTATTTTTAAATT